CATAGAAGTGCAGGCAGCAGCAGAAAGATTTCTTTCAAACAGGAACGTTGTTTTAACATTTAGCTGCTAGATCTGCATTCTTAAGTTAAATAAAAATCTACTCACTTTACAGCAAGCTTTTAAAATCATAATTTTAAAAAGAACATCCTGTATTTGCAATAATTTCCAGTTTAGGAGTTACTTCTTTCCGACTGAGTGATTAATACATTTCTTGCAGAGAAAATGCTCATGTAGCTGAAGTGCAATGTTATTTGTACACTATTTCTCAAGGATTATATAAACTAAAATGTTATCATAGAGTTCCTAGAAGCTTCCAAATCATTTTTAATATTAGAGAGATGGATATTCCACAGATGAATATACTATAAACACTCAAGAAGTAATGTCTCTAAGTAAAAATCTTGACACATGGGTAAACATCATCAACTTTCAAAGTGAATTATGGGCCTGATTTTCAGAGTTGCTATATACCGATATCTTTTAAACACATCAGCTCACTTCAGTGATACACAGCACTTTTAATCTCTGCAGCCTTATTTGTATTGATGTGGCAAAATGTCATGAAACAAAAATACACATCATCCTAGAATTGTTGGCAGAATGGAAAAAATATGCCCAGCTACTTACCCCTCCCATGTTCCAAGCTTTTGCTAGGGTTGCCTGTGCTTCTGCCAGCGTGTCATCAACTAAAATCTTGCCATTTATAGCTAGTATTTCGTCCCCTTTCACTATGCCTCCTGGTGAAAGACAAACAGTACTAAGTAAATTAATTTCAGCAACAGTTTTCTCTGTCCCATATCTATTAAGTACTCACTACTACACAGTACTAAACACTACGGTGAAAAGCAGCTTCACTAGATGCCTGCGTTTATGCTAGAAGTTGACATGGATGAGATGGTTTGCTATAGGAAAAAGAAAAATGAAGTTTTAGGTATGCAAGAGACAACAATTTTATTGATCATGACCCGCAAGACACTTGTTCAATGAGATTTTCTGAAGCAGCAGTTTGTTGATGTAACCATCAATACAACTTATAAATGCTGGTTGGTTGTAGGCTGTTACTACCATGAAAATAGCAGCATTGCTTAAATGACTTAGTGTATGATTGGTTTTGTCATGGGTTTGCCAGAGTGTCATGCCTCTGCAAAAGCATGCACAATGTTTAGTCCTTGCAGTGTTTAGTGACTTGCTAATCTAGAATGAAGCACAACCAGAGATCTGGGACTGGATTTGAAGATACGAGAATGAAGATTACAAAGGGGCAGCCTTAGTAATAAATAAATAAATAAATAAATTTATTTTTTTAAAAAAGTCACAATAGGGCAAGAGTCGAAGTGGAACAAGGCACGTGGGCCTGAAAGGTTTTCACAGTAAGAGTGACGTGAACTTAGCAGTAGGTCTAGTTAAAGTTAAAGGAGATGCTGTCCAATCCAGCTACCTGTTGGTATCAGGATACCTCAAGGAAAAGGTGAGAGGGCCTGGGCTCCCTGGAAGAAGGCCTGGATGCATTGGGATGCCTATATGTTATCATGGCTTCCAGAGAGGTAAGCCTTAAGTCTGAAGACTCTGGCCTTTAGTGGGATTTTGGAAGTGGGGTCAAATGTTTTACAGAACAAATTACTTCTAGAAGCAGCAATAAAAACAAAACTAAGCAGTGTAGTGTGGCTATGGCATGGTTAACTGATTTGCACATTTGCATCCAACAAATATGATTGTTTAGAAATTGTGAGATAATGGAGACCAGATTCTGCTTTCCTCAGTTAACTGACTCTCTCATAGAGTCAGTAACTTTTTGATGCCAGTGGACAAGAAGTATTTTTCAAGAGACCAGCACTACATTTTTGGGCCATATTACGGAAACCTTTGCTGTTGTAAGAAATATAGCAGCTATGACTATTTAAACACCATTTTATACAGTTTGCATAGTTTATTAATGTAAACAGCCTTCAAATCTTTGGCCTCACTCTGAGTGCTCTTACAGCAGAGATGGCCCCTGCCTGTCAGTAGCAACCACAGAACAACTGTCAGCCAGGATGAGAAGCCACATTCCTGTAGCATTCAAACCCACCACAGTCACTCACCATGTTTGTCTGCAGCACCACCCTCATAGATGGCAGACACGACTATCTTTCCAATTGGAGAATCAATCCCTCCTTCAACTGCAAGGTCGAGTGATCCTTCCTATTAAAGAGGGGGAACTGTTTTAAAGAGCTGTTAACAGTTCTTACCATCACAGGAAGCTTGGCTTCTTCCCAGAAAAAAAGAGGGCTCTACAAGAAAAGCAAAGCACAGCAAAGCAGTTCTTTTTTTTCCCAGTGTTTCAATAGTTAGCAGAAGGAAATGGCCACATTTTTACATTATAGTAATAAAAACAGTCAGCAATATGATGAAGTCATCTTGCTTATTCCAAACTCTTGTCCTTTATTGCAAAACAACTCCAGTACTGCAAGACAGTTTAGAAATAGTGCATCACGCTCTGCTATAGCTCAGAAAAAGGCAGTACTTACCCAAATCCTCTAAATATCTTTAGCCAATAATATGATATTTACCTTTTTAATGCGTAATAGCCGTACATCTTTTCCCAAAATCTGCTCTGGTGTAAACTATGAAAAGACATCACGGTTAGTAACATCTACCTTGGAAACTGGAAGCATAAAACAGTTAAGCTCATGTACACAGTTTACGAAGAAAATGGGACCTTTCTCTGCTCCAAAATAGAATTAGGGAGCAACTAGAATGCCAGAACATCTTTTCCTACAAGAAAACTCTGTTTCAATGTGACCAGAAAAGCAGCAAGCAAGCCCAAGCGAACCAACAAGCAAGAATCCTACTCCCTCCTCCCAGTTGTCAAAATCAAGGATGTGTTTTTTCCAGGGTATTTTGTATGAAACATACTTGAATTCTCTCCTTACCATTGAACATGGGTCAAAATCTTCCACATACTTCTGAAAGCCCTGAGAATAAAACAATGCTTGGTTATAAAAGCATCAGGCTCATGCGCACACTTAACAAACAAATCCCATTTCCTTTATTAGTGAGAGAACATACAACTCTGCAAGCTATGAAAGAAGGCCATAAATGGAAAAAAAGCAGAGAGAGGTAGCAGATAGTCCATCCTGACAGTCAGAAGACATTTCAAAACCTTTTGAAAGACGAGCAGTTAGAGCTGGTTGTACTGCGGAATGGGAGCCAGATCTCATCCTCGTCACCAGCATTTCCAGCAACCAGACTGAAGGACTTCAGCACTACTGAAGGCCACCAGGCTGCACCAGCAAACCTGCAGAGGTAGAAGGGTTGTGCCCATTTCTCTGTGTGTTCATTACCCGGAGCATGCAGCGCTGGGGCTGATGCCTCCTCCATGGATGGGCAACCATGACACTCAGGCCTGCTGATTATTAAAGCATAAATCCCACCTTTCTCGGAGGCTCCCTCTCTCAACTTCCCTCTTGAGATCTGAAGGCCAACTTAAGCAAATAGTGTCATTTTCTGACTACAAAAGAAACAAAGACTCAAGAGAACTAAATCTCCAGGACATATCTGCAAGACTGTCATAAGTTTTTTCTTTTTTTTTTTCCTTTTTCCTCACAGGTCAAAAGGTATTAAAAGCTTCTTTTTCTGGCAGAGGACAACAGGAGAACTTGTTTAGTCAAATGTTAGTTAAATGAGCAGCTAAATGAGCTTGGGTTGCATTTATCAACTGCTAACTTAAGGAACTAAATCTTAGGGTCATCAATGGGAAGTTGACCACTGATTTTAGTGAGAGAAAAATATATAACAAAACAAAAAATAACATGCATTTAAAGCATACTAATATTCCACTTGTATTAAAACTGCAAGACAGTTATTTTACAGTAACAGTCAGGTAAACAACCAGTAGCTTGAAGAAGTGTATCTGTATTTGACCTTAGGAATCATGGCTGAAGCAACATAGATGATCTGGGAGCAAAAAACTTAGAGCAAAGAATCCTAATCTCAGCCAAGTCACTAATTCATTAAGTAATCTAAAGCATGTCGTTGAACTCCTTGTCCCAGGTTGCCCTCATGAAAAACAGATGTTGCCCTTGAAGAAAGTTTTCCTGGGAAAATAATTTTCAAACAGAGGAAAAAAATTCCCACTCCACACGTACAACAAAATACCTGCCAACAAAAAAAAATTACACAGCCTGCAGATAGGCATACAAGTATGGCCAAGATATGAGGAAGACTTCTTCTGCAGTGTAATAAATCTTCCAGAAATGGGTATGTCTAATTCACAGAGCAGAGAAGTCAAACAGAACATATATTTCCCAAAAGAACAACCCACTGAACTCAGAACAGTCAAGCAAAGAAAAGGAAAGGAAAGCTTCACTATCTTGGTGATTCAAAGTTTGAGAGAAAAAAGCAATAGAAGTAGTATTATGACAGAAAAATCATGCACAGTTAGGAGGAAACACTATATGAATAAGTGTTTTCCATCCTCGCTTCCTCAGATTTCCTACTAACAACTATGCTATGATAATAACTCTATTTATTGAAATAATAAAATGTTTTATTAGTGAAAGCATTCTAACTGGAAAGTAAAAAGAAACATGAATATTAAAAGAACAAACTTGCTCAATACCAGATTGAAGTTCAACTAATCTTAAATATTTTACTAAACAGGTAAGTAGCTACCAAAGATTCATCCTGAAGTGTTTACTATCCTCTCATTCCTCATCTGCCTAGGCTGATGAATGGAAGTCACAGGCACACTTTAAGGGGACTAGCAGTTTTCATGCACTAGGTCTGCATTGCACTCTGTTTTAGAAGTTGAACAGCACAGAAAGGAAGAAAAGTTTATAAGTGACCACACAAAACAGGGAATGTGTTATTTTACTTGTTTTTTGTTAGATCTAAATGATGAATTGTAAACCACCATCCTTTTAAACATCTCTTGTGGCTGCAAAAGAAAGAAAATTGCCAAATCTGGTATTAACTTTTCTCTGTAAACAAGTATCACAAATAATCTCATTGCTTTGTCACTCTTAAAAGGCTTGAATCATGCTAACAGTTGTTGGTGCTCATTCCCTACACGATTTCAAAATGGGAGAACACACATAGTGAGATGGAACTAAATATAAAAAGGAAGGAATTCTAGAGAAACTACAAAAATAAAGCACGTTTCCATACCACAAAATTTCTTAAAAACATTTTCCATAACTCATCTATCCTCTCCTCTGTTTATATAAAACTGTGCTGGAGTTTCTGCTGTGACATTTCTGACCAAATCTTTAAAAATAAACAAACAAAAAGTCAAAACCCACAGACAAAAAGCTGGATCAGCATTTCCCAAAATACTCAAAACTGATGATAAACATACATTATACACTTAAGATTTTCTATTCTGTGAGGGATTCCCTGTGTAGAAGGGTGAATTTCATCATAAAACTTATTTGAGTCTTATGAAACAAGAATATCTTCCTGCATACTGAACTATGGTGGTTACACTTTCCAACTAAATTTCCACTAATCAAGTGATTTTCTATCAGTTTCACTCTGATTCCTCTGAAAGGCCTGTGTTCATACCTTCCTTCAGAAAAAAAATCTATCTGTTCCTGAGTTGACAACAGATGTGCAATTTGAGTGTGTATTCATACAAAGACTTAGGATGTTTTTGGCATAATTATTTTGGCAATAACAAATTATATTTCTAAACACCACAGACCTCTTCTTCCTCTATAGTATCTAAATACCTTTCTCAGATTCCCTGAGTCCTGCTAGATCAAGTCTCAAATCTTGCAAATGAGAAGAAAGTTTAAATATTTATTCTTCCCTTCTGAAATGCTGCATCCAAACACAAAGGAGTGGGGAAAGGAAATCTTAAGCAGCAGCAAATGCATCAAAGCCTTTTATCTCAAACGCCCTGTTGCACAAGTTAGGTGAGATGGAATGGCCCAGTACTTACATTGGTTTTGCCTCTGAAAACTCTACCACTAAATCACAGAAATCCTCTCCTGTTATCTGGGCCAAAACTTAAATAGCTTTGCCACAAGTGTGTTCCAGTTCATGCTCTAATACAGCACAGATATGTGGTTGACACTGATTTTTGACCCAAAACAGCCCTAGCATTTGAGGCCATGCTCAAAATTTAACTTTTACATGAAATCAAATTATTATTAATGTTATTATTATTTAAACACATTTATGGAAAAAAGCAGCCTGTATGTCTATTTAGTTTGCACTGACATTTTCATTCTTAAGTAAAAAAAGTTGCCTCCTCTTCTTTACGTTATTTCAGTATCCATGCAAGTCCCACTGCATGCACTACTATGACTTAGTTTGTAACCAGGATGAATAAGCCTTACTGCATTAAGTCATAAAAGGAAGGAGTTAAAAGAGTTAACAAAACCAGTTTCCAGAGTAATGTTTTTCTTCTAAATTGTATCAGAATATTACTTCGCCCAAATTATGAACTTTCAACTAACATAATGAAGTTTGGGAAAGAGGATGATTGATTTCTGAAACATCTTAGCAGTCTGTGGTTTGGAAAATGTGCACACAGGCATAACAAACCATGAGAAATCTCCCTATGGGGGTAGCTCTCCACAATTCTTACAATTAATTGTAAGCAGGAAGCTAAAATAAACTAAGCAACATTTTCAGCCTTGTACCAGGACTGCTTAATCACATATAAGCAACCTACCTATATAGGTATTCTCAGTTTTTCAAACTATTTTAAGTTTGCATCAGATACCTATTTTCAAGAATTGATAATATTAAGTGTACATTATGGATTTTACTCTTTTCATTCCTCCTCTAATGATCGTAAAATGGCTCTGTGTTTCTAAATTACTGGATACAATCGAAATAAAAACACCATGCATCCAACTGAAGGAAATACTGAAGAGAACTGAAGGAAAGGTTCTTGTACTTATTTTTAGCTCATATACCTGCCTTCTCTTGAGAAAGCAGGAATTAACCTTAATTTGTAAAAGCTGTTTTCCATTCTCATCTGAACCCATTTATGATAGAGTTCTGTGGTAAAATTGGTGAATATGTATCTTTTGAATTTGTCCAAACTGCAACTAGGAAAATAAAGGAACAAAAGCATCTAAATTATTAAAATACAAAATGATGAAGAATCCATTCCAATAATGAAAGGTAGTTACAGATACAGTGTACATCATTTTCTCTGAGATATATCAGACAAGATAGCAAATAAATGAAATATACACATAACACTTTTGATGACTACCTGTGAAAACATATGACTAAATGTGACAACATTTCGCAATACACCACCTCTGTTATGTATATGTGTATATATGTGCATGTCCACACATATATGAACACACACCTCTAATTGTAACAATATAAGTCACAGTTACCATCAAGAACGAATGCTACTAAGTGGACCATCGGTTATCCTAGATGAATTTTCAGGGCTGCCATTTGGGAATTATCAGTTAAACTGGAAAAATTTCTACCTTTTCAGACAGACACGGCTCATTACCTTCCATATAACACAGTTCCCAAATGTGCTACAGTATTTGGTCCAAAAATATTTAGTCTAGGACTTTTCCTTCATTTACATTTGAAGCAGATGTGAAGAAAATATGATAAAGATTTTGACCCTATTCAACTTTGAAAGAACACGACATGACTATTATATAGGAGGCAAAGACATTAACAAAAAAAAGAGTTTTTCTTTGGAAATGCAAGAATGGAATATGCATATCTCTATGTATCTATATATGTATTTCAAGTATGTTTGTGACTACTTGCAAAGGAAAGATACAGCATAATTAACTTTTTACTATTTCAATTCTGGTAAGTGCAAAATTTGCAAAAATACAAATCAGCTTGAATGAAGGAAAAATAAGATCTACAGAGTCTAAAGCTCTATGCTTCTCTGGAAGTGCATACCTCAGTACAAAGATTTAGGCTAAGAGTGACTTTTAGACCATGAAAACTTTTCTTATACTTTTTATACATT